GCTCCTCTACACCCATTATCCTCAGATTAGGCCTTCTGATGGTGCCTTCTAAATGTTGAATCGATCTATCATATTTCTTGGATTGTCTTGGATAGTTGTATGTTCTTTCTCTATAATATCTACACTGTCTTCAATCCCAGAAATTTGATCTTCTGCATGGCCTAACCTACTGTCAAGACTTTCTACTTTGTTTTTTATTTCCTTTCCTTCTAATTGGTCAGTTTTGATGGCTTCAAATTCTTTATTGGAGCTTTGTTTAGACCTTGTATGGACTTCTTTACTTCCTTAATTTGGTTTTCAATGTTTATTCTCAAATCCCTTAGTTGATTGATTATAGTTTCATTGGACTACCTTTCCTTCTGACAGGCTCCATTCAGCATTCCCTTTGTGGCTTCCCTGGATTCCTTCAACTGTCTGTTTATGGATTCCATGAATGCCTCCATTGATCTTTGTCTATTCTCATCCCACTCACACAATTCCTATATTACTCTTTGATTAGCTTCCTCACGCTCACACAATTTTTGTATTTCTCTTTGACTATTCTCAGCCTGCTTACACAATTCCTGTATTAATCTTTGATTAGCTTCCTCATGCTCATGAGATTCCTGTATTAATTTTTGGTTAGCCTCATCATGCTCGTGAAGTTCCTGTATTAATCTTTGGTTAGCCTTGTCTCGCTCCCTATCATGCTCACATTGAGTCCTTTGCAGGCTTTCAATCTTTTCATTCACCATGTTTACCAGTAGTGTTTGTAGAGCTTTTGGGGAGCTCTCCTCTGGATTATTCATTAACTGTTCTGTCTCCTGATTATCATGAGTGGGAGTTGAGATACCTGGACTTGCCATTTTTCTTGTGCTTCTCCAGCTTGTTCTGCCCATTTGTTATGAAAGTAACACCAATTTGCACTAGTACACTATTTTAAGGTAAGCATCAACCAGAGTCCTGTAGTTGCACAGATTGATTGACGTGGGAAAAATGACTGCAGATACAATCTATTTCAACAGATACAATCTAATTCAACATCAAACAACTATGAATGAATGGGCTAAGAATGTCCAAGAGGGATTCAGGAGACCAGAAATTAATAGGTTTAGGGAGATTTGTAGGGGGAAATAGGATTAGATTAATGTGGAGAGGTAACGAGTGAATTTAAACAACAGATTATAACAGAATGAAAAGAGGAGAGAGATAAAGAAACAAGAAAAAATGAAAAAAACAAAATTTTAATTTAAAAAATGAAACACTTAAAAATTATGTAAGTATAAGAAATAATACTGCTAAAAGAAAAAGAATGAGAGGAGAGAAATAAAAAGGAAAAAGGAAAAAATAAAGAATAAAAAATTTTTAAATGGAATACTTATAAATTATATAAGTATAAAGAAATAGGGCTGGGAAGGTGGCTCAGTGGTAGAGTGCTTGCCTTACATACATGAGGCCCTGGGTTTGATTCCTCAGCACCACATAAGCAGAAAAAGCCAGAAGTGGCGCTGTGGCTCAAGTGACAGAGTGCTGGCCTTGAGCTGAAGAGCTAAGGGACAGCACCCAGGACCAGAGTTCAGGCCCACAACTGACCAAAAAAAAAAAAAAAAAAGTATAAGGAAATAATACTACTATTAAAGGAGTTAAGCCTAAGAGGTTGTGGATTGAGTAATCAATTTCTGAATTAAGTATGCACACAATGAAGGATAAGTTCTAAAAATTGATGACAGGTATATATCTGGAGATGAGCAAAACAGCAATTAAGTCAAAAAACAACCAACTAAAAGGTTAAAAGAGATTAAAAACAAAAACAAATACACACACACACACACACACACACACACACACACATACCCCTAAAGTAAAAGTTATGAAAGAAAAAATAGAAAACATTTTTTTAAGTTTAAAGAAATTGAGGAGAAAAGACAAAGTTTAGAGAAACACTGCAGATGCATGCTAGAGTTTGATTTGTGAGCCATAGGCAGAGTGGAATAGAAGACAAATAACAAATGTATAGGTGAACCAGCAACTTTTTTTCTTTTTCAGTAAATCCCAGTGGAATAAGAATTGGCTAGTGTACTCCAAAATATATAAAACTGTGACCCAAGATCAGTGATAACAAATGGAGATTCAAAACTCTTAACTGAGCTGGGCACTTGTGGTTCACGCCTGTAATCCTAGCTATTTAGGAGGCTGAAATCAAGACAAATGATTTTGGTTCAAGGCCAGCCTGGGCAGAAAAGTTTGTAATACCCTTTCTCCACCCAAAGCTAGGCACAGAGGTATGTGCCTGTCATCCCAAGCTACATTGGAGGCTGAGCTTATGATAATGGAGGTTCCAGGACAGCTGAGACAGAAAGTCCTAGAGGAGATTCTATCGCCCTGGTTTCTGAGCCATGGTAGTGTGCGACAGACCAGCTCGGCCGGAGCACTGGGACCGACGGGAAAGGGATCTCGGGATGGGTGGGCAAGGAGTCAGCAAAGTGACAAACAGACACAGACTCAAAAGAGTTGCATCTGAGTGTATCGTTATTGAGGAGAATTAACATTTTTATACAGTGTATGATTGTGACATAGATTCTTTGTTTATTTAAGCACATAATCAATTTTTTAAAGGCAAAGCATTGATGAATTACATGAAAATTGATGACTATCCCACCAACTGTTTAAGCTAAGTGGTGTGAAACAAGTCTAGCATATTGTTTAATAGAATACATCATCTATTCAGCCTTTTTATGTTTAATAATTAACAAACCTAAAACAGGGCTGTACTTATATTGTACTTTTTATTTTTATTTTTATCCAACTAATTTCATCTTTATAAGCTCCTGTATAAGGAAATGGTTCTTGGTTGGTTCAGGAAATACGTTGTTACTAACTTTATATTTTGTGTGAAAACACCATCTATTCCCTATAATGTAAGTTGGACTAAACTTAATCATAACTGTTGGGAGAATCTTTCTTTTCCTTTTATAATCAGAGGTCCCTTCTTTTTTAGAACTCTCTGAACTACTAGGATAACTCTTTCTAACTTAGTTTAATTCATTGAATTTATCTGTTGGACATATCTGGAAATTTTAAGTCTCTATATTTACTATGCATGAGCTGCAAAACCACTTGTGAAGTTGTAGGAGTTTCTGGAGGCAGCGTCACATCAGATGATAGATTGATTGGTGCATTGCAAACATTTAATCTTTGGTCTTAGTCTTTATTACTTAGAGAAGTTATCTCTATTGGACTGGAAAAATACAACATACTCTGTTCACGGATCAATAGAAAAATAGCCAAAACGAGAATAAAGGCAACGAATGTACAGCCAAGAAGAATATAGTAAGAATAAAGGTAGAGGCTATAAAGGTGCAGCCAAGTGTATGGGAAGCCTTGAACCAACACCTCCTTCCTGCAGGCATGCTTCTTTGTCCAACGCGATCTCTCACGCAGACTCCGCATAAGGTGGCGTGGCACCCACTGGTCACAGAAAGATGTCCACTCAGCTGGAGATACCAGGAACCACTGGAAGTGCAGAAACTTAAGCGTTTGACCTTGTTTCTTTGGCCAGAGACTATTCATAGAACTTGCAGTCCCTTATTCTGTTGTCAATGTCAAATCAGAAGCCATCTATCCACCACAGGCAGCTTTATGGAAGTGCTCCGCCCACCTGCGCCGGCCTCTCTTCGCTGAACCCAACTAAGGACTCCTTGCAGACACATCTTCATGGCTGCTTTGTCTGCTGTGATCTCTGCTCCTTTCCAAATGCTTTCTTCGGCAGCTTCCGCTCCATTGTGCCTCTCGGACTGGGTTCCCATGGTGGTTGGATACTGAGCTGCTTGTTAGAGGAGGAAACAAGAGTTGTTGTATACAATGGCAGGCCTGAACTGGCCTGGAGGCAGGACAGACGCTCTCCCAGGTGGGACCTGTCAGGGCACAGGGCAGGCATCCTGCCACTGGGCCCTGGGTCACTGTGGTGAGCAGCAGTCACACTGGAACTTCTTTCTCAGAGAACAACGGGTTAAGTCTGACCAGATTGTCTTCTCTAGGGAATCCAGTTCTCCACCAACTCCTGGGGGATGCCTGGGGCTTGAGTCTATGCCAGGCTCCACTCCTGTCCAGAACCTTTCATTCCAGAAGTTTCAACCAAGTGTATGTGGCGTGGCAGTAGTGTGTGCCTGTAATCCCTAAAGTAGGCAGATTTCCACCCAGACACTCATCTAGGAAAGAAGTGAGACCAATCTGAAAAAACAGTAAAATAACCAATGAAACCAGTGCTGGAAACATGGCCTAACTGGTAGAACCCCAGATTAACTTAAGGCCCTGAGCTCAAACCCCAGTACCACTAAAAAAAAAATTAAGAACTCTAATTGAGGGCTGGGAAGGTGGCTCAGTGGTAGAGTGCTTGCATTGCACACATGAGGCCCTGGGTTCGATTCCTCAGCACCATATAAGCAGAAAAAGCCGGAAGTGGAACTGAGGCTCAAGTGGTGGAGCGCTAGTCTACAGCTGAAGAGCTGAGGCACGGTGCCCAGGCCCAGAGTTCAGGCCCCACAACCGACAAAAAAAAAAAAAAGAACTCTAATTGAGATACAAGTGAGAGTAGTTTTGAAATATGTAACTGGACACTAGGGCTCAAGCCTGTAATCCTAGCTACTCAGGAGACTGAGATCTGAGGATCATGATTCAAAGCCAGCCAGGACAGGAAAATAAGTGAGATTCCTAGCTCCAATTAAGCTCTAAAAAACCAGAAGTGGAATTGTGGGTCAAGCAGTAGAGCACTAGTCTTGAGCAAAAGAGCTTAGGAACAGCACCTATGTTTTGAGTTCAAGTCACAAAACAGGAATAAAAGAAGAAAGGAAAGAAAAGAAAGGAAAGAAAAGAAAAGGAAAGGAAAGGAAAGGAAAGACCAAAGCACAGCATCAAGCAAAATAGATAGGGTTGTATGAAAACAGGTGAAATCTTGAAAGATAAAAAAGTTGTAAGCCATCTCATCTCCTTTCTATTTTATCCCAAGGAAACATCATCCACGAATGGCCGGGAAGAACCATAGCTCCATCACCGAGTTTATTTTCACCGGGCTGTCTGATGACCCCCACATCGAGGCTCTGCTCTTTGTTCTCTTCCTGGTGGTTTATCTCCTGACCATGACGGGCAACCTGATGCTGCTGCTGGTGATCAAAGCTGACTCCCATCTCCACACCCCCATGTACTTCTTCTTGAGTAATCTCTCATTTCTGGATCTCTGCTTCTCCTCAGTCACGGTGCCCAAGTTGCTGAAGGACCTCCTGTCTGACAAGAAAACCATCTCAGTAGAGGGATGCCTAGCTCAGGTCTTCTTTGTGTTCATCACTGCAGGGACTGAAGCCTTTCTGCTCTCCATGATGGCCTATGACCGCTATGCTGCCATCTGCCACCCACTGCTCTATGGCCAGATCATGAGCAATGAACTGTGTGTGAGGCTGGTACTCATCTCCTGGGGCCTAGCCTCTCTTAATTCTGTTGTCATTGTGCTCTTAGCTGTTAATCTAGACTTCTGTGGAGCCCAAATTATCCATCATTACACCTGTGAGCTGCCCTCCCTCTTCCCTCTGTCTTGCTCTGAAATCTCCATCAATCTCGACATCTTGATCTGCTCTACCTTGCTGCATGGACTTGGCACCTCACTCCCCATCTTCTTCTCCTATGCTCGCATTGTGTCTACCATCCTGAGCATGAGTTCTACCAGAGGCAGAAGCAAGGTGTTTAACACCTGTTCTTCTCATCTAATTGCAGTGATTCTATTCTTTGGGTCAGGTTTGGTTCGCTACCTCATGCCCACCTCTGGATCTTCTCTCGATTTGCTCTCCTCCTTACAGTACAGTGCCATCACCCCTATGCTCAATCCACTCATCTACAGCCTGAAGAACCAGGAAGTAAAGGCAGCCATGAGAAGGACATTGGGGAAATTTTTACGTTATTTTGCATAATGAACAGAGATGCAGGAGGGTAGGAAAAGAGTTTGTGCTGTGCTTGAACTTGAGGTAGAGTTTTAGACCACTGACTCTCTCTCGCTACACTGACACTGAAAAATGAAATGCACAAAATTATACTTACATATGTTTTACATATGAACTCCATATAATTGGTCTTTTCTTTGTTCTACTCGCTTATAAAATCACCAGCAGTTTCTTACCAGATTGCAAAAATGCTGTCTCTCCTGAATTGATCATTTATGTATCGTATATTTCAGGCTTTATTATTTTTTTCTGGTTGATATACTCTGCTATAGATCTTTTTCTAGTAACTTCTTTCTTTCTTTCTTTCTTTCTTTCTTTCTTTCTTTCTTTCTTTCTTTCTTTCTTTCTTTCTTTCTTTCTTTCATTTTTTGCTGGTTGTGGGGCCTGAACTCAGGCCTGGGCACTGCCCCTCAGCTCTTCAGCTCAAGGCTAGTGGTCTACCACTTGAGCGACAGTGCCACTTCCGGCTTTTTCTGCTTATGTGGTGCTGAGGAATCAAACCCAGGGCCTCATGCATGCAAGGCAAGCGCTCTACCACTGAGCCACCTTCCCAGCCCCACACTTTATTTCTTTTATCATTTTAAAAATAAGGGTTTTGTGCCAGGTGCCAGTGGCTCACACCTGTAATCCTAGCTACTCAGGAGGCTGAGATCTGAGGATCACGGTTCAAAGCCAGCCTGGGCAGAAAAGTTGGTGAGACTCTTATCTCCAATAAACCACTAGAAAACTGGAAGTGGCGCTATGGCTCAAGCAGTAGAGCGCTCGCCTTTAGCTGAAGAGCTGAGGGATGATGCCCAAGCACAGAGTTCAAGCCCCACAACTGACAAAGAAAGAAAGAAAGAAAGAATAGGAGATTTGTTTTGTTTTGAGAGTACTGGGTTTGAACTCAGGGCCTTGTGATTACTAGGCAAGTGCCCTAATTTCTGATCCATGCCCCTAGTCCTTTTTGCTGTATTTTTGAAATAAGATCTTGCATCTGTGTCTGAGTAGGCCTGAACCACAATCCTCCTATTTACATTTCCTGCATAGCTGGGATGATAGTTGCCAGCCTCTATGCCCAGCTTTATTGGTTGAAGTGTGATCTTGGTAACTCTTTGCCTGAAATTGTCTTGGGGCTCAGTCTTCCCAATCTCTGCCTTCTGAGTAATTGAAATTACAAGATAAACCACTATGCCAGGCCAAACAATAGTCTTAAAACTCTATGTAAATTCCAACTTTAAAAATAAACTATATTGACACCTCTATAACAAATTGCAGTTTGTTTGATTTGCTGGTATCAGGATTTGAACCCAGGGCCTCACACTTGTTCAGCTGCCATTCTAACATTTGATCCATGCCTCCAGCCTAGATTTTTGCTGGTCATTTCAGAGACTCTCATTGATTTTTCTGCCTGGTCCAGCCTTGAATTATGATCCTCCAGATCTTGAATAACTAGGGCTATGGTCATGAGCTACCTCCTGAATATGTTTGCTTTGTTCTGATAGTTCTCTTTTCCCTCTGTCACATACATTCTCCTCTCTCCAAGTTCATTTATATTCTTGGGTTTTGTCAAAAACACATTATCTTTATATTATTGAGCTTTTTTTTTTAGTGGTACTAGGATTTGAACTCAGGATGTCACGCTTGCGAAGCAGATGCTCTACTCCTGAGCCATGCCTACAGACATTTTATGCTTACATAGACCTAAATTCCAGACCTGCCCCAGCACCAGTCCATCTCTCAGGCTTACCAGAAAGAAGCTCCAGGCTTGCCACCCTCACCCTATCCCCCAAGAATATAATCATCACAACAACCCCAGACCCGAGGCCAGCACCACACAAGCAACTTCCAGGCTTTTCCCAGACTCAATCCAGCACCCCTGGCTCCAGTTCCAGGCTTGGCCCTGCTGACTCAAAATGCAGTACAACTCAACAACAGGCCAGTCTCTGGAGTCCCAGATCCCAGGACCATCACAACCAGACATCCTGAGCAGCCTCAGTCTATAAGCTAGCTTTCCTAGGACTCAGACTCCAAAGCTGTTCAAAACAAAACAAAAAAAGTCTCCAACTCAGTAGAGCTCAGTAGAGGCTCTCCCTGGCCTCTACTCACTAGAGGCTAGCTCCAAAAATATCTCCAAATATAGCCAAATTTCTCCGAAGAAAATAATCACCCCTGTGCAAGAACCAATGAATCAAATTCACTTAAAATTTTTTCCAAGAAGGCCAAGCACTGGTGGTTCACACCTGTAATCCTAAATACTCAGGAGGCTGAGATCTGAGGATCTTGGTTCAAAGACAGACTGAGCACGAATCAGTGGGACTCATATCCATTTCAGTACCAGAAAACCAGAAGTAGAATTATGGCTCAAAGTGGTAGAATGCTAACCTTAAAGAGCTTAAGGGCAGAGCCCAGGCCCTGAGTTCAGACCCCATGACAGACAATTTTTTAAAACATTTCCAAGCAAGCCAGGCACCAGTGGCTCATTCTTGTAATTCTAGCTACACAGATCTGAGATCTGAGGATCACAGCTCAATGCCAGCCTTGGCAGGAAAGTCTGTGAGACTCTTACCTCCAATAAACTATCAAAACAGTTGGAAGTAGAGCTGTGGTTCAAGCAGAAAAGCTTTGGCCTTGAACAAAAGTAGCTCAAGGACAACAGCCAGGCCCTACATTGAAGCCTAGGCCCAGAAAAAAAAATTCCAGCAAGAATGAAGTAAGTCATGCTCAGAAAGACAAAACAAAAACATGTTTTCAGCCAAGCACAAGTGCTCACACCTCTAATTCTATCTACTCAGGAGGCTGAGATATGAGGATTCAGCCCAGGCAGAAAAGTTTAGTTAACTACTCAGAAAAAAACTAGTGGCCCAGCCCAAGTGGTAAAGTCCTAGAGTTAAGCACAAAGAGGTTCAGGGACAGTGCCCAGATCCTGAGTTGAAGCCCAGGACCAACAAAAAAGAAAGAAAGAAAGAAAGAAATTCTCAGCAAGAATAAAGTCAGGCTCAGAAAGACAAAAAAAAACAACATGTTTTCTCTCATGTGAAAGTAATTGAAATTATAAGAATATATAAGAACATACCTGGGGTCATATGCATACATACACAAACATTAATTAAAATATTGGATAGACAAGGGAAGATTCCAATAGTGTAATTCTTTTTTTCTTTTCCTTTTTCTTTTCTTTTTGTCAGTCATAGGGCTTGAACACAAGGCCTGGGTGCTGTCTCTGAGCATTTTTGCTCAAGGCTAGTGCTCTACTACTTTGAGCCACAGTGCCACTTCTGGTTCTGGTGGTCAATTGTGGATAAGAGTCTCAACAACTTTGATGATGCCTGAGCTGGCTTTGAACTACAATCCTCAGATCTCAGCCTCCTAAGTAGCTAGGATTACAGGCATGTTCCACCAGTGCCTGACTGGCGCAACTCTTTTGGAACAACTAACATAATTTAATGAAATGAATACCAAGAAGCTAGAACATGTATTATCAAGAATGAATGGCGAGAGAAGGGAGGGAAAACACAATGTACATAATTGGAAATGGAACCAGGTAATTAAGGGAGAACTGGGGTTAGGAAAGTTGGAGAAGAATGCTGAAAGGGTGACATTGATCAATTTGAATTGTACTCATAAACTGACAGGGCCACTTCTGGTTTTCTGGTAGTTTATTAGAAATAAGAGTCTCACAGACTTTCCTTCCCGGGCTGTCTTTGAACCATGATCCTCAGATCTCAGCCTCCTGGGTACCTAGGATTACATGTGTGAACCACTGGTGGCCGACTGTATTGCCTTTGTACAGCTATTTAAAAATCATTTTTTTTAAATATAAAGGTTTCCAGGCTTCTGACTTGAGCCTGTGAGTGAACAGCCACCATGGTATTCTCTTCTGTGGGATTACAGGGAAAGACTGGATTCTCATGGACCTACAGCAGTTTCTTTTTTCTTTTTTTCAAATTGAAAAAATTACATATTTATTAGAAACTTTGGAAGAAAAACAGTTCAATGTAGAACAAAACACTTGAAGAAAACTATAGTTTAAATTACATATAGCTGGGCCCCCATGGCTCATGCCTATAATCATGGTTACTCAAGAGGCTGAGAGCTGAGGATTACAGTTCAAGCCAGCCCAAGCAGAAAAGTCCCTGTGAGAGCCATATCTCCAATTAACCACTCAAAAACTGAAATTGGTGTTACAGCTCAAAGTTGTAGAGAGCTAGCCTTGAGCTAAAGAGCTCAGAGACAGTACCCATGCCCTGAGTTCAAGCTCCACAACCAACAATAAATTAAAAATAAATAAATTACATATAATTTATTACAAACTCTGTACAGGGAAAATAGGATATGACACATGGCAACATAGGATTTCAAGTAACAAAATGCCAGGGCATTTTCCCACTCTTGAGAACTAGGAGTAATCCATATTAAAAAAAATAAATGATGGACTATTTATACCAAAGTTTAAAACATACCATATGTTATACACAGAAAATTGAATGACCATGAATTTCACAGATTAGTAATACCATATGGTATAAAGAATCTGATTAACTTTTCCATAAAAATCAATACAAGGGAAAGTAGCACTGTGGCCCAAGTGGTAGAGCATTTTCCTTGAGCTGAGGAGCTCAGGGACAGCACACAGGCCCAGAGTTCAAGCCCCATGACTAACAACAACAAAAAAAAATCAATACAATGCTGTTGAAACATCCAACATTTCAGAAGGTATCTATTCAACAGAATACTTTCAATCCATGATGTCTATTTTGTATATTGTCCAGCCCTGTCAGTCCCACAATGACAGAGGGTTCTTCTCAAGAAACTCCAGAGATCTGCTTACAGTGACATCATAAAGTTGACGTCCATGGATCTACTAACAGTGGCCAAAACACGCACATCACAGAACAGTTCAGAGACAAGGTCAAGGAGGGTCTTGGGCTCCATCATGAGTATTTTCAGGGTTTCAAGGGACCCTATCACTTTCAAAGTTTCTGATATAC